CTCGACCATAAAGCCTAAGGGCTGCACAAATCGAGTTCGAGCAAACACTCACTCGACCATAAAGCCTAAGGGCTGCATTAATTCGAGTTCGAGCAAACACTCACTAGACCATAAAGCCTAAGGGCTACATTAATTCGAGTTCGAGCAAACATTCACTCGACCATAAAGCCTAAGGGCTGCATTGAATCGAGTTTGAACAAACACTCACTCGACCATAAAGCCTAAGGGCTATATTAAATAAAGTTCAAGCAAACACTCATTCGACCATAAAGCCTAAGGGCTACCTTAATTCGAGTTCGAGAAAACACTCTCACTCAACCGTAGAGCCTAAAGGGCTACCTTAGTTCAAGTTCGAGAAATCACTCTCACTCGACCGAAAAGCCTAAAGGCTACCCTAGCTCGAATTCGAGCAAATTATTTCGCTTGAACTCTATTCGTCAAAGTTTAGAAGTTGTCTCAGTTCGAGTTCGAACATTCACTTGGGAACTACCTATAAGAAAAGGTCAGTTCGAACATTCACTCGGACCTTCAAGTAATTATCCCGTGCTAAGGCACTTTTTGGCCTTTGCATAAATTAACAAGAAAAGCAAAAGATTCAGAAGCCATAAAAGGAAGAAAGTTTTATATATACCAGAAATAATTTATAATGGCACCATGGCCCAATCAAGCTTTTCTACAAAAGACCAAAACGGTCTTAAAAGAAAGAAGAAAAATACTAAAAGGACTTAGTCCTCTCTGGGAGCAGCATCTTCACCTTTGAGGCCTCCTTCACTCTCAGAACCACTCATACTCCCGGTATTATCATCATCGGGAAAGGCCAACACCCTGGCTTCGGCTTCGGCTTCGAGCTCTTTTGCATTCTCGATCTCGGCTGAAAGATCGAAGCCACGAGCGTGGATCTCCTCTAAAGTCTCCCTCCGAGATTGGCATTTAGCATGCTCGGCAACCCAATTTGCTCGAGCTTGAGCAGCCTCGGCAACCTCTTTTGCTCGAACCTGAGAGGCTTCAACATCAGACCGGTAAACAGCCACCACTGCATCAGCATTAGCCATGGCTATTTCGACCTCCGAT